TCAAGAGGAAAATGATGGAGCTTGTGGGAATTGGCTGTGAAGATCCTGGTGGGGCTGGTAGAACCCATGAAGGTGATGGAGGTGACAGTCAGGCTGATGGAGTTTGAGATGGGGATGGTGGGACGCCTCAAGGTGGTAGAGCTGGAAATGAGGATGAGGGAGCTCATGCTGGAGATGGTGGAGTCATGGTGGGGTGGTGGAGGTCATGGTGTGATGGTGGAGGTCATGGTAGAGGTGGTGGGACTCAGGAAGGTGGTGGAGCTGATAGTGAGGGAGGTGGAGCTCACGGTGGATGTGTGGATTGAAATGAGCCTGGTGTGTTGTATGTAAGTCCTAACCCCGACGTGGTTATGATTCCATTTGAGGCTGGGTTTACTTTGTGATGATAATGATACAAGATTAGTTGAGGTTGGGTCAAGTCAGTTGCTGAATTGGCACACCTCACCTCCTCACTGTGAGAAAATAAATATCTGTTTGTGAAAGTCTCCCCTTTCGGCTATTTCGGTTATAGCATCATTACAGAACTGGGACAAGGTGGGGGGGCGGTAACGGAGCTCACCATGAGGCTGGTGTCCATATGGGTGTTGGGATTCATGAGTCAAGTCATGTATGTGCTCCACAATCGCCCAGCAAGAAAAGCAAGATTATCCTCATTTCTCAGCCTATCGCCCAAAGTAGCTGGGGCAGGGTCCTGAGGCTGAAGGGTACAGGGGGCTGAACTCCCTGGTGGACACCCCCCCCAAGATCAACATTTCTCCTTTGCAGATTGCCCTAGAGGGACCCCTTTCGGAAACGTCCCAGGTGAGCTCCGCCCTCCTGCCCCTCCCCCAGCTCCGTCCCCACACCCGGGGCCCTATTCAGACCGCCCTCTCCCCCGCCTCCGCCCCACCAGCACACCTCTACGTTCTGCCAGTGGTGGGGTTCCTGATCGTGGCCGCTGTCGCGCTGGCTGTTGGGGTCTGGGGCTACCGTCGCTACCGCCTCAAAGACTCAGGTAAAGACGCAGGTAACTGCGGGCGCTCCCGTCCTCTGGCGCCCTCGCCCCTCGTGGCGGAGGCAGGAACTGCAGCCTCCTGATAGCGGGTCTGGGTACCCTCGGAAAGCGGGTGGGTTGCAAGACAGGTGGAAGGGAAGATAGATGGAGGAGGGCAACACTTTTTGGCTGTTGTCACTCCCTTTCTCTCCCCTCCCCTCCCCCCAGAGAATCCTTTCTATAGCAACGTCCTATACCGACACCGGGGGACCCCAAAGGAGACAGGAGGGGACGAAAAGGGGCTGAACCCTAAACACGGCAGCCTGTATTCGGCCACGCGATACCACCAGTCACAGCCACGTGTGTCCCCCAAGCCTGGCTCCGGCTGGAAGTCCAGCCACCTCATCTCTACCATCCAGGCTTGTGCCAGCCCAGGTGCCTTCAAGAAGCCACAGCCAGAAGGATCTCCCAGAGTAGGAAGGGGGGGCTTGACCCCCAGGAACCAGAAGAGACCCCGCCAGGGGCTCCATCTATGTGACAATCTGACCTATGAGGAGCCTACTACTGCCCCCAGACCACTCAATAAAGTCTGTTGAAAATCCAGCCAGATGTTTGTTGGTCTGGGGTTAGAATTCTTGCCCCGCTCCCCACCCCCCACCCCCATGCAAACCAGTGTTCCAGCCACCCCCTCTCTCTGGAGTTGTCATGGCAGCAGGTTTCAGAGGAGCCTCTGGACTCAAGTGAGAGGAGAAAGAAACACCTGGCAAACCACGTTCGAAAATCAGTCCCTGGATCTCAGTGGGTGGAGCCTCAGCCCACTGTGGGGATTGGCTCTGTCATGCATGGGCTCCGGGTACATACGGGACAGCCTGGCCCGCAGCTGCCGGCATAATTTAGGGGCAAGGCTAAGCCACTGAGGGACCTTAGCTCCTGTGTCAGCGGAATGGTTAAGCGATGGACAGCAGTTTGCAAGGTGAGGAGTTCAAACCACCAACCTCTCTGAGGGAGAAAGACAGGCTTTCTAGCACCGTAAACAAGTTACACTCTCAGAAATTCACAGGGGCAGTGCCTCCCTGGCCTTGCAGGATCATTATCAGTCCTCCTGGACTCAACGGCGGTGAGTTTGGTTTGGGGAACGTACGGCCTAGTGGGGTTTTCAGAGCCGCTGGGTGGGTTCCAACCACCGACCTTCAGCTTGGCAGGGGAGTGGTTGTGCTGCGGATGGGTTAAGGGGTCCAGCAGCTCTGACAACCAGCAGGCAGACAGGAGGGGCGGCAGGGGGACCCAGAGACGCTGGAGAGGCATTCTGTGACAGCTCGCCAGTCCTTGTCGGGACACATGGGGAGGGGAGGGCAGGGAGACAGTGTGCCCAGCCGCCCAGAGGTGCTCTGAACAGGAAGCCCCCTCCCTCACAGGCAGCCCCTAGGGACAGGGGGGCGGGGCGGGAGAGGTCAAGGGTTCCTCCGTGTTTATCAGCCCCCAGGGAGGGTCTGCTGCTTGACGATCACCTTCAAGTGACACCAGCTGCGCCTGCTCCCCTCCCCCACGGATGCTGTTTCCATGGGGACAGATGTCCTTCCGGCAACTCCCGCCAGGCTGCCCGGCTGGGGGAGGGGAGGCCGAGGCTGGGCACCTCACAGCCTGCCCCAGCCCGGCTCTCTCTGGCATTGCTTCTGCCTCTGCCTGCTGGGAAGCCCAGAGGCCCTGGTGGCACAGTGCTTAAGCACTCGGCTGTTAACCGAGAGGCTGTCCTCTTGAACACACCCGGCCGCTTTGCGGAAGGGAGATGAGGCCGTCTGACCCCATCAAAAGTTAGTCTGGGAAACACACAGGGTCAGTGCTATCAGTCCCCTAGGGTCTCGATGAATTGGTTTTATTTTTATTTCAGGGGACGCCGTTACCCCATCCAAACGTCACAATCTGGTGCCTCTGGACAGCCCCCCTACCCCCCATCCTAACCTAGCATCACACTGGCTGCTCTCCCTGCGGCCAGGCCACAGAGGACACATGGGACTGCAGGCTCACATGGCATCCAGGGTCCACACGTCCCTCCCAGCTGCCCATCAAGGACACGGAAGACACAATAGCTTATTTATTTTCCAGGCCCAGGGGGGTTCTGAGGGGCAGTTCTGGGCCCTAAAACCCAGCAGCAGGCTGGCATGGCATTCCCAACTCATCCCCTGGCGTGGGGCATCTGTCCACTAGGCTGTGTGTCCCACTCCCTCCTTCCAGACGACAGCCAGCTGGCGGTGAGCCTGGTCAGGGGGGCTGCGTGGTGGTGACCGGGTAGAGCAGGGCCAGGTGCTCGGCGCCCTGCACGGGCAGCGGGCGGGCGCTGTAGTGGAGCAGCAGCTCAGGCACGCTGGGGAAGAGGCCGCTGTGCTGGCCCAGCACCACCTGGTTCTCCCGGATGCGTGCAAACTTCAGGTGCAGAAAACCTTGGCTGCTCCTGGGGGAGGAGAGGACACAGGTCAGTGGCAGGGGCGGGGGTACCCCAGGGAGCTCCGTCAGGTTCCAGGGGTCAGGCCCTGGCCTCCCCAAGGCCCTCTGAAACTCACTCACTACCCTGAGTCATTGCCAACTCACAGCGCCCCTAGAGGACAGGGTAGAACGGCCTCTGTGGGTTTCCAAGACTGACTCTACAGGAGTAGAGAGCCCCGGTTTTCTCCCTTTGAGAAGCTGGTGGTTTTGAACTGCTGACCTTGCAGTGGACAACCCAGCGGGTAACCGCTATGCCCGAAGCATTCTTGGTGCTATGGAGAGCTGTTAATTCTAACTCAGAGCGACCAATGGGGCAGGGGAGAAGCACTGCCCATTGTGTTTCCTCGGCTGCTGTTTTGATGGAGTGGGTGGTGCAGTGGGTTAGGCATTGGGGTGCTAACCCCCCCAAGGGGGAAAGAAGAGGCTGTCTGCTCCCATAAAGTTACAGTCTCATAGACCTCCAGGAGCAGTTCCAGCCTGCCCTCTAGGGGCGCTGGGAGTCGGAATCAACTGTCCATGGCGCTCCAAATTCACAGCCATCCAGCCGATTCCGACTCCCAGTGCCCCTAGAGTAAGGTGACCGGACGTCCCGTTTTTGGCGGGACAGTCCCGGTTTTTAACAATTTGCCCCGCGTCTCGCGGCATTTTAAAAAAGTCAGATTTTTGGAAAGAATGTACCACAAGCTAGGGTATACGGTTTTCGGCTGCCATGTGGCTATTTCACCAGGATATGAGTTTTATCAATAGTGTCCCGCTTTACCAATGTTAAAATCTGGTCACCTTACCCTAGAGGGCAGGTGGAACTACCCTTGTGGGTTTTCAATGTAACTCTCTACAGGAGCAGACAGCCTCCTCTTTCACCCATGGAGCAGCTGGTGGTCTCGAACTGCTGACCTCCGAGTTAGCAGCCCAACCTGTGGAAGGAGTCCTTGGGTGACAGAAATGATCGAACACTCAATTACCAGCCAAAAGGTGGGCGGTTCAAACCCACTCAGGGGCACCTTGGAGGAAAGGCCTGGCCATCGATTGCCAAACAGTCACAGCCTTGCAAACGCTTTGGAGCTGCTCACCCGTGTCACATGGTGTCACCGGACTTCAGCTGGGGCGCCTAACAACCACCACACCCAAACAAGGTGTCACCTCATTGGAGGGAGAGTGTTTCTTTGTTCTGCGAATGAAACCCTATTTGCCAAAAGAACAAACAAATCCGTCTCAGAGGAAGTACAAGCAGAGCGCTCCTCAGAAGCAAGGATGGAGAGACGTCGTCCTTGTGGTCAGGAGAGACCAGTCCCTGGAGAAGGACATCATGCTTGGTAGAGGGGCAGCAAAACCCAGCAAGGCTCTCAAGGAGATGGGGGACACAGTGACTGCAGCAACGGGCTCAAACCTAAGAACAACTGTGAGCACGGCGCAGGACCGGCAAGTGTTTTGCTAGGTTATATATCTGGTCACTCTGAGGCGGAGGGGATCAGGCAACACCTAGCGACAGCAGCAGTGAGCTAGAAAGGTACAGGCGAGGCAGAGTCGCAAGCTGGGGGTAGGTGGGTGGTGGCACAGGATGGAAGAGAGGGATGGGGAGGGAGGCACTTGGATGTCGCCAAGGAACTAGAAACAAAATCTGGACCTTTGGCCTCCTTACGTGTGAGGAAATAAATGTCTGTACACTCAGGCACCCCCCTGTGGTCTTTGTGTTACAGCAGCACCAGAGAACCGAGACAGGGCCAGGCTGTTGACTGACTTTCCTTTCCGCTGGCAGGGACATGGTCCAGGCCCTAGCCAGTTACTGGTGTGGAGAGGCCACCGCAGCAGTGACCATGAGAGAGAGCAGTCCACCAAAATGAATAAAGCTTGGTGCCTTCAGGCAGGGGGCTGGCTTAGTAACGTTTGTTCCAGGAGGGCAGAAGCTAAGGGGTGGCCTGGTGAAGAGGCGCTGGACCAGTGAGAGCCATGCCTGGCAGCATGACTGAGAAGAGATGCTGCTTTGGACCAAAGTACTGTATCCTTAATGTTTCTGAGCTTGAACTTGCTTCCTCGTGTCACCTGTTAGCTTCTTAACGTTGTTGACGGGTGCCGTGTGGTGAGTTCATACAACACAATGAAACAACGCCCGGTTCTGCGCCAACCTCACAACCCTTGTCATGTCTGAGCCTGGGGTTGTAACCACTGTGTCCATCCATCTTGTCTAGGGGCCTCCCTCTCTTTTGCTGCCCCTCCACTTTACCAAGCATGATGTCCTTCTCCAGGGACTGATCTTTCCTGACGGCATGTCCAAAGTCCGTGAGAGGAAGTCTCTCCATCTGGGCTTCCAAGGAGCCCCCATGATCATGAGGGTTGTCTGTGAGTTCTGTGGGGCCATGCCCCGGATGACCAGCAGAGAAGCAGAGTGCCCTGGGAGGGATGGTTGGTATCAGAACAGGGCGTAGATGGATGGAGGTGGTGGTGTATCTAACCCCTGCCTCTTAGCGATCATCCTCGGACCAATGAGGAGTTGGACTCTCCTTCTCCTTCGTGTCACCAGAGAAGCTCAGACCCTGCCCTCGGCCTTTCCTCGGGACCCCACCATTCTGTCTGGGGTCCCCTTCATTTCTCTCCCTCCTTGCGGATGGAATAACCCAGATGCAGGTTATCAGCATTATCATTCTCACTTGTTATGTTGTTAGGTGCCATCAAATCTGTTCAAACCCACAGCAGCCCGTGCACAACAGAAGGAAACACTGCCCGGTCCTGCACCATCCTCGCAATGGCTCCTTTGCCTGAGCCCGTGGCTGCAGCCACAGTGTCCTTCCATCTCCTTAAGGGCCTTCCTTTTTCACTGACCCTCTGCTTTACCAAGCATGATGTCCTTCTCCAGGGACCGGTCTCTCCTGACATCATGCTCAAAGTACGTGAGACCAAGTCTCGCCCTCCTTGCCTCTAAGGAGCATCTGGCTGTACTCCGTCCAAGACAGCTGGGCTTGTCCTTTGGGCAGTTCTCGCTAATGTTAACTAAAGACTGGCTGCTCCCCAGGAGCCATTCCCGACTCTTCATTTCGTTTCTCCAAACAACACCACCAAGTTGGGACATTTCTGATCCACACTGGAGCGGTGAGGGATGCAAGGCCCAGAGAGGCTGAATCGCTTCGCAGAGAGGGCACGCAGCACAAACGTGGCAGAGCCTGGTCCCATAGCCCCCTTCCCACCTTGTCCTCTTAGGACTTGCCGAAGAGTTTTATAATTAGATGGGCTTAGCAGCGCAGAAACACAAGCACCCTGCACTTCTAGTCGCAGATGGAGACACAGGAGTATATCTCAATATTTGGACTGGGTCTACAGGAAACCTGGACACTTGGTTTCTTCCCATCTCATCCCAGGCCCAAGTCTCTTGAGTGGCTTCCATGCCACCTTCTTGAATACCTCCAGTGACCAATGGGTACAAAGAGAGTTCGTCCCGGAGGCTCCGCCCACTAGTCTGAAAACCCTACCCACTGGCTTCAAACTCTACTCTCGTTGGTCCCAGAAAGCTCCGCCCGCTGGTACCAAACGCACCACCTGTTGGCCCTGGAGGGAGAAAGATGAGACT